TCTGTTTGCAATATATCAAATGCAGATTTAGATCAAGAAAAAGTGGTAAAACTAGTAGAGGTGTGTGCAGTGAGTAAAGATGGAAAAACAGTTCTGCACACTTTTACCTTCATGTTAACGCCCGCATAGAGGTAGTGGGAAAGTTGATGTCTGATCTGTAGACAATCTGTATAAGCACCATTCTTTCAAAAGTTTGCAAAATCAAACTAGTAAGCGAGGAGATCTCGGCCTAACTCATGAGTATCCAGAGCTCTGGGGCTTAGGGATAGGCACAATGAGACTATTGGCCAGGAAGTAGAATGAACGCCCTCAATGTAACTGAGAATAGGACAGTGCCAATAAAGGGTTATCAGGGCACGTGCCTTAAGTTCTGAGATATCATAGGTATACCATCCTCTCCAGCGGCAGTTGATCGACCTTTGGTTAATGCATTATCTAATCTCCAACTAGTAAAAGGTCAATCACTCTCCATCCGATATTTTTGGCTCATTAAATTAATCAGTTTTGTCAAAATTTTCTTCAGAAGTACTCTGTAAATTTTTTACTAAATGAGATGGAAGGCTTTCAATGCCTGGCGATAGTTTTTGGACCAGTCATTTATGAGGTCATTCTCTTTTCAAGAGGAAAGGTAGGATGACAACATTGCCAAGCTTGCTTTTTCCGCTGTGTTATTTATTATATACCTATTTCTTCCAAGCCAAACTCACAGGGGTGGACACCTATTTAATCCACAACAAACTGTTCCCATTCCTGTCTTTGCCTAAGTTCTTCCTTTCTATTCCTTCTGCATTGTTACGTGTCATCGGTCTGGGGTTCCTACATTCACGTATGCGCTTTACCATCCTCCTAGCTGGCATGTGTTAGATTGCGCGCGAGCTTGTGGATCATTATAGTATTTACATTGTTTTTTATTGTATTTATAGTGGAAGGGTCTTTGTTTCTCTATTCCTCCTGCCCACAATTGATCTGTGAGAACACTCTGCAATAGGGTAATTATACCATCATTAATTGGGGGGGGGGGGGTGAGGTGATGGGGCCAATGGGCTCGTAATTCTTATACCATTGATCAAAGTGGTTAATAAAGTTGTCTCTGTGTTCTGGTTTGAGATACAGTTTCCTCTGTCTGTATTTGCTCCTTGATTTGCTGGAGTATGTGATTCAAGATTGACAGTTGGTTAGTCTTGGGAAGTGATCAGATAAAGATCATCACTATGACAGAGTCATGCATCGTATATATGTATTAAATTCCAAGACACAGAATCTAGTATGCCACCATATAATGTGAGTAGGCTCAGTAAGTGCCCCCACCATTCGCGAACATTTTCATGCTCATTCAGCAATCTCACGAGTTTAGTTCCATTGGTGTTTGTAATAGACCCACCAATATTCTTATGTCTTGGCATTAAAATCTCCAAGAAGGAGTCAGGTTCACTATTGGAACTTGCATTCTGGTAAAGCATCAGTCGAAGCTGGTTCGCTGGGCATAGTAATTAAAAATGTTTATGGAAAAATCCCTTGATATACTTTACACTTGATACTGATCAAGTTAACTCGACTTCTTGGCAAGGAAAGGATGAATGTGGCAAGATTCTTTCTGACATACATCACAAACAATACAGTTGGTTGACCTTAGGGTTATAAGCTGCATATCCAGGCACAGTTTGGTGGAGGTGCTCATCTTTCATCTACATTCCTGCAAACAGATGACATCAATATTCTTGGTTGCAGCTAATATTGATGGGTAAGTCAGGCAACCGCTTCCTGATGGAAGCAATGTTCATGAAAAGATTTGGTAATGAATCCATGTAAGTGAGGTATTTACAATCTCTTGCTCATAAGATGGTAAAACTTATGTAATGCTTTGACCCTGCAGTGTGCCAGACACTTAAGAGCAGATAGCATAGTTTGTACTCTTAACTTCAGAACCTTTATTTTTAAGAAGCATTTTTTCGGCATTTTGGCAGCCAGTTTATGAGGCAAGTTTTGAAGGCAAGAGTTATGGGCTTTCTCACAAATTGCTGGAAACTGACCGGGGATTGCTGCACTTTTGACATCATCACCATGCTCAAGAGCATCATCCTGATTACATATATTTATTAAACTTGTGCAGGATCTGTTTCAAGATGCTCAATTTTTTTTCTGGAATTTGTATAATATGGAGGAAGGTCAGGCGAATCCAATGCCTCTCCGGAGGATGGCACTTCTGGGTTAGTAAGTAAGTAAGTAAGTTTATTCAGGTATACACAAATACAGTTACATAGAATTATCATACATAGCAGCATATGTGTAGTCCTTCCTTTAACACCTATCACCTTAACAGGTACCATGGTTACATTAGTGTTCTCCGTTTCATCATTCATTGCAGGTAGGTCCTGTGCATCTGACTCATCTCCAATTTCCAGGGAGGTTACCTGTGTGGTGTCCATCTGACTGTTGTAGTTGTGTGGATTGGGAGAAATGACAAACTCATCCCCATATTCAGGTGTAGCCATAGGTATCTGTAGTGGCAGACCAGTAGTTCCATATGTGCTAGCATGGATGGATATCTCCTCCCACAGGCTGGTGTTGTGATGGCATTCTGGTATCACCAGAATTTTTTTGGCAGTGAGGTGGGGTTTGCTTGCACACTTTGCAGAGGTTCAGTCCTCAGATCTGGCTGTGGTAGAAAAACCCCACCCCCCCCTGGATGGCCCCATCCTCACTGTACCATTTAAAGGACTGTTATCAGAGGTTAATCGAAGGTTGTTTGGGTTCTGACTGCAAGTCCTTGTGGGAAACTGTACCCCAACTTCTGTACATTCTTAAATTTTTGGCGCTGTCCAGGGCCTACTGTGCATTCTCTATGGGAATGTTTCCTCCCAGCACACTTACCACACCACAAGAAGTAGTATTCACCACAGTCTACTGCAACATGCCATAAGGATGCTGGCATTTGTAACACCTACATTTAGGGGTAGGCATACACTTCGATGTTTAGGAAACGTAAACACATGCACGCCAGCATATTCCGGGGAGGGGTACAGGGACCCACTCCAACTGGCAATAATTTGGGATTTCTTAAGAAGTCTTTTAGGGCTTGATGGTTTAATTTAGATATGCTCATCACTTAGAGTTCCGATGGGATGGTCCCATGCAGATAGGGTATCCAAAGATTATGATACTCGACCCATTTTTTAAAGTGTGTCTGATTGAGTCGGAGCAGCTTAATATCCCCATAAGGTGTACTAAGTAGATCAATTGATCACTCTTATTCTGGTTCCACAAACACACAAAGTTTGTGTGTTTTTCCGTAAATTGGATCCTTGATAGGATGCTTGTTTACAGCTTCAATAGCCATGGCACACTTAGCAGGCAGAGGCGGGGTGTTGTCAGGGAAAGTTTCAGCTTAACACATTCTTTCCTTTGTGAAGAAAGACTTCATTGCAGCCTCTGGTGCACCAAGGACGTTTTAGTATCACTTGTGTACGAGTCATATTGAGCGACACGTCGACGCTCTAACCCATTTCTTCACTTTTTCATCATTTTGTTTACTTTTAAAGGTCTGGGAAGCTATCATCATTTCATCACCTGCAGAAATAGGTTCCTCTATGACAGTTGCCAATGTTTTGCCAGTGATGATATCTCGTGTAACACTCACACACAGAATTCCTCGCTTATTCTTTCCTTATAGCTTATGCCCAAACAATATTCACTACAAAGGTCAGAAGTCCCCAAAATAGATCACAAGACACAAGTGCTCAAGTCAATGAACACCTCCACCATTATCTCAACCCAGAACCAACTCACCACTTCAATACGACACACAGACCCCACCAAAGAACACACTCAGAGACCTCTTGTATGTGTGTTAATAATATGGTATCGATATAATGATAAATGGATTGGTACAGGGCGAGGCTTACACCATATCACAAATTACAAAAGAATGAAAGCAGAGAGAGAGAGAGAGAGAGAGAGAGAGAGAGAGAGAGAGAGAGAGAGAAGAGAGAGAGAGAGAGAGAGAGAGGAAGAGAGAGAGATGGAGAGAGAGAAATTAGTATATGAGCATAAAATTAGAATTCTGACATACATCACATTAAACATGAGGTTCAAATGATAACTTCCACTTGAGATAGTTCAGGCTACTGCCACCTAATGTACCTCACTGAAATAATAATATAGCAGACATCACAATGAACGCTGAAGACAACCTCTTACCCCAACCATAGATTGTAAACAGAATTACTAAAAAAAAAAAAAAAAAAAAAAAAAAAAAAAATAGGTAATGTTACACCTCACCAACATCAAGGAACCTTACCTGAGGGGAATAAAAATGTTAAACTAACATACTGTAACTAGAAAAAGTTTGTCAAACACTGCCATCCTCAGGTGCCCTTTTGACAGTGTTAGATACACTATTCCCAATTTAGGTTTAAATGTAATAACTTGAGAAAGTCTCTTATGAATGGCTTCAATTTACTTTCAACACTGGTGTATCCTACTCAAAGAGTTAGATTTGTTACTGGAGTGTAGGTACCAATTTGCCATTTTTGTTTTTAAAACTAACTCATTCCATTGTTCTACCATTTTGTAAGTAAATTTCTAATATTCCTTTGGTATGTCTCTATCCTTAGTTTATAGCTAGGGACACTTGTCTTGCCCTTTGATGCTGTTAATAGTCTTCCTTATTAATTCTCCTGTATCTTTTATTAATTTATACGTGGTCATCTTATTGTCTTTACTCCTGTTGGTCAAAGATGGCACGTCCAATGCTTTCAATTGCATCCAGTACAGAGACACATGCACGAGGATGTTAGTGTTCTGAACAAAGCTGCGAATAAAGTGACCCTGTCAGCTGAGCGTAGTGCAGATTGAAAACCTGTAAAAGGTATATTGCGTACATAATTAAAACTGGTATCACTTTTTTTCAGAAAAGTAGTCAAGTAGCTGTTTTAATACATTCTTACCACTAACACAAAAAACAAACACAAGAACACAGACACACAGTAATCATGAAATACCCTGCTGTGTGATGGCTGCCCATGTAAGTAGCAGGAACTCCCTCTTCCACTCCTGATACTTCATGGCCTCCTTGCGTGAACCTCTGGTAGGATTCGTCGACAGTTTGTGAAAGTAACAGTGGGAGACACCCCAGAACACGATAGCTAGTAAAGCCAGTACCAAGAGCAAGCATAACCAGAGGGCACTGGAGAATGGACGAGTATAGGACGTCCATGACACGGCTGATAGCTCAGGGGGCCGGGCGAAGATGCGGTAACTGGGGACACAGGAAGATTAATATAGTATGCAAGACGGAACACACAAAATGGAACATCGTGGTACGTGATTTTTGAACATTATACAAATTATTGACATTACTATGTGTAGTGATACTGCTCCTGTGGGGAGCAGCAGCAGGATAATACTGCACCACCTCTCGGGGCCCTTAACAACAACAACAGTTTGGTGTGTGTCATGGGCGCCAACACATGGTGTGTGATTCTCTTCTCTTCTATCCCTATATTAGTGATGCAGATTACATGGCGAGTTTAAATATGTGGCCTGTAGTTATAACTTTTCTCTTGACATATGCAAGACATCACCATCCCTGTAGAAGCCGTTATTAGATGTACTAGTCATTATATTTTGTTGTTGCAGAAGTACTATGAAGATTCTATGTTCAATAAAGCCTAGAGATAAGGCCTGTGTTTCTATCACGACAATTTATTGAACATAGAATCCTGGGCTACCTGGTGGTGATCCTGCGCTAGACTACATCACAACATGGAGCGTTTACTGAAACCTGAGAGGCTAGACTGTGACCCCAGCTTATCAACGGCTGCTCAGGAATGGAAGCACTGGTTTAAGACTTTCGAAAACTTCTTGGGAGCCATTCCTAAAGAAGATCTAGATAAACTAAGTCTGCTCATCAATTTTGTGTCACCTAAGATATATGAGGCTATTTCTGAATGTAATACCTACGAAGATGCTATCAAAACCCTCAAGTCTCAGTATATTAAACCTACAAATGAAATCTTTGCACGCTATCGCCTTGCAACTCGCCGCCAGCAGATTGATGAATCCTTAGAGGAATACCTTCAAGCACTGAAAATTTTAGGTAAGGACTGTCACTTCCAAGCAGTGACAGCTGCTCAGTATTGTGAAGAATCCATCAGGGATGCTTTTATCAGTGGCTTGCAATCACCATAATAAGGGCAGCATTTTTGGAGATATAAACTCTCGACTTAGCCGCTGCCTTTGACCAGGCAAGAGTCTAGATTCAGCCCAGAAGAATTCTGAAGTATACAGTACCACTCAGCCTTCTCGAGTGGTAATGCTGCAATTCCTGACCAAGACTCTTGCAATGAAGTTATTGTGGAACCTGCCTCAGTGACAGCAGCAGCAGGTACGGTGTGTTTTCTTTTGTGGTTTTTTTCAAGACATCCACATCCAAAGTGTCCTGCCTCGTGAAGCAATGTGCCGTAAATGCCACAAGAAAGGTCACTTTGCTAAAGTATGTCGTGCTAATGCATCAACAAGAGCTAGTGCCTCCACACATTCCAGTGATCATGCGACACTAGAAACAGTGACTTCTGCGGCTACTCCAAATTCACTGTCAAAGGCATTTTGTGAAAGTATTCTCAAAGGAACAGAATAGATGGTCTTATTGATAGTGGCAGTCAGAGATTTTTCATCAATCTTGACTTAGTTAAACGCCACTCCTTGACTGTACATCACTCATCAGGTACCGTTTCCATGACATCAACATCTCTCTCTATTCAGACCTTGGGGTTTTGTAAGGTTAAATCTCAGAGTTAATGGAAAGGATTATCAAGATGTACATTTAGCTATTCTGCCAAAAACTGTGCTCTGATGTTATCCTTGGTCAGGACTTTCAGAAGCTGCATGGTAGTGTCACCTTAACATATGGAGGTGAACTGCCTCCTCTTGTTGTCTGTGGACTTAGCACTTTAAGGGTAGACCCACCAAAGCTGTTTGCAAATCTTACCGCGGATTGCCATCCTACATCAGCTAAGTCACGCCGCTATTCTTATGAGGATCGGATGTTCATTGAGAAAGAAACTCAGAGGCTGCTGAAGGAGGGTATTATAGAACCGAGTAATTCCCCCTTTGGGATGCACGGTTGTTGTTGTTGTTAAAGATGGGTTATAGGAAACGGAGACTGGCTATCGATTACTCTGAGACAATCAACAAATTTACACTTCTTGATGGGTACCCTCTACCTCGAATTGATGATATAGTGAACAAAATTGCTCAGTACTATGTGTTTAGCACAACTGATATACAGAGTGCCTATCATCAAGCCTATAAGGGAATTTAAGATAAACCATACACAGCATTTCAGGCTAGTGATGGCCTGTATCAGTTTTACCAGTCCCTTTTTTGGAGTCACCAATGGGGTAGCCTGCTTCCAACGAATTATGGATTCACTCATTCAGGAAGAGCAACTCGTGGGAACTTACGTGTATTTAGATGTTACCATTTGTGGCAAGACCCAGGAGGAACATGATGCAACCTTGATAAGTTTTTGGAAGCCGCCAAGAAGAAAAATATTCAGTTACAATGAGGAAATGTGCACTTTTTCAACTAAAAGGGGTTTGCAACCTTGGTTATGTAGTGGAAAGGAGGTTCAATATTCCCAGACCCTGAACGACTACGACCTCTACGGGAACTTCCAATGCCTCAAGACAAAAAAATACTCCGAGAACTCTTGGTCCTTTGTTATTACTCACAATGGATCTACAACTATTCAAGTAAAGTCCGCCCATTGAGTGCTACCACATTTCCTGTGACAAAGGAAGAGAAGCCCCTTTT